TAATTCATATTTACGGTATTATAAAACCGACCATATTGCAAAAAAAGAGGGAGGCGTTGTGATCCCACTAAATTGCTCATATCGAAGTTTAAACGGAAATTTATTTCCCCTCATTTAGAGAAACTTCAGATTAAGAGAAATATTCATTTGTCTGTTTATCCCTGTACTCCTTTATCACATAAACAGTTTCTTTTCTATAGGAAAACCATTACGAACGTTTAATTCTTTTGACTAACGAATGCAGATAGATTTATTAGTATATATAATTTAGAACCATAATTTGAGTAATGTACTACTTAGCACTAACATGTCTTTTTTTTCAGAATTTCATTTTCGGGACCTAGTTTCTCAGAGGGCTTTGAACAAAAGTTATAGATTTCACCGAAACTTTTCAAAAAATGAGGTATGGCCATATTTTCCAAATTTTTGGTATAACAGAGCTTGAAAGGGATCAAAAAATTTGTCATCACTTTGGAACCGGCTGATTTTTCGAATTTTTTTTTAAACCACGGCGAGTGTGTTTTAGAAACCTTTCCAAGTTTTAATTATGATAATAAACCATAAACGTAAAAATAACTAAAACAAATGATTTCACGATTTTTCGGAGGATGGTTTGCTGAGTTAAGAGGAGGAAAGTTAAAAAAAATGTAAAGATATTATTAGAAATTTGCTCTTTTCGCCTTTTAATCAGAGACGCTTATTATGTTTATTGCACATTGTAAAAAATTTACATTAAGAATAGGTGGTTACCTCAATTTTGACAAGATATTAGGTATACAATTATTTCTCTAACACTCGAAACATATACAAAAATCACATCCACATACACTTCTAGACGCCTTTTATTTATCGCATGTAAACAAGCACTTTGTTTTCTCAATAAATTCGAATTTGTTGAACTTCAATTTTGAATGCCATGTAATTTGAGAATAATGGCATCGATTTCTACATTTATATGGTTGTTATGGCGTAACAATTTTTATTTATGCGTTCGTCGCGTATTTTGTTTGTTTTATATTCGTTTTTTATTGTATTACTGTTATTGTGCGTAATACAATAAAAAATAAAATGAAGCTGCTAAATTTCCTTTTTTTTTTTCTTCTTTTTTACAATTCGGGTGACAGATTGCTTATGTATCCTTTATTTTTCGCAAAATTTGTTACAGTAATTTTTTTTGTATGCGATTTTCGCCTCTGTTTTTGAACATTTGTGTTAATTTATTTATACGCCATATATTATACGAGTCAAATGTTTATGTAAGAATGAGTATATGTATATGATTTCACAATAATTGTTATACAAACCTGATGGTATTATTTATTATATAAAAAATTTCCCTTTTTATTTTGGATAATTTAATGGAAAATTTTATTTCTTCTCAAAATTAAAGTACTTTTAACAGGTGAAGAAAATTTTGTTTTCTTCATATTTTGTTCTTTTTTCGTCTGTTAATATATGATCAATTTGTTTTTTTTTTTGTTTTTTCTTTTGACAGTGACATTAAGGAGAAATTCTTTTAATTTGACATGTGAAAATAAAAATTGAGATATGATTACGTTGTATCTGATGTATGTGTGTATATAAAATTGACATTTATTTTGGCAAGATTAAATTTTTTGATTTGAACCAATTTATTTTTATATAAATATATGTATGTATACAAGAAAAACGAGATAAAGAGATTTTCAGGTGAAAATAAATATAACGGTATAAGATTTACTTTAGAAAGGTGACAAAGATTATTTGAATTAAGATTCACTTTAATAATGAAAATTTTTTTTTTAACAATTTTCAATGAAATTTTGTTAAGCTCCAAAAGCTTAAGCAATTTTTAAAGATTTTTTGTTATAAATTAAAATTTAAATAACAGTTTGCAGTTTCTTTGATCTGTCATCTTTGGCGAGGTCATCTTTGGACCTTTCATCGGCTAGCTTGACGACATATGATTTCTAAATAGACTTAACCTACATTCCAAGAACATGGACAGTTTCTAGTGTTGTTTTCATTCTTAAGACTGAGAGAAGCTCTCGCGACATCATTTCTATTAAAGATATTTAAAAAGTTGTTATAGAAAATTAAAGCGTATATATGCTACGGACAAGATAAAGCGATCACGGCTGGCTTTGAAAAATCATGCAACTATTGCGTTTTAGCCATATAGAAAAAGCCAATGGGAAAATGTGGGACCTTAAACCAAACACAGATTATTGCTGATACACCCTGGTGGTCCTAATGTGCGGTGTTCTACTGTAGTAGCCAGTGATCCGCACAGTTGTGAACTTCAAATTGATAAGCAAAATTCAAAAAAATGGCATTTGTGTGTGTGTGTGTGGAATATTACCCTGCAACCCTACTCAGCTTTCACTTCTCAAAGTTCAATCTTTATTCAATAATGGAGATGCTAATTTGTTTTAAAAATTTCATTCGAAAATAATAAAAAAATTGCTACAAATATAGAAAAATAGTTTGGTCATTATTTTAATACGACCATTTCATACAAATTTCTTACTTTCATAATTTATTATTAAAACCCTAATTAAGTTTAGGAAAATGTTTTTCACCACTGCTTTAGTAGCATTAGAACAATAATTTTAAATGCACATTATTAAAAGAACCAAACAAAATAAAAAAAAAAATTGTTTCTATTTGTAAAAATAATTAAGAAAATTTATTTAACTAAAAAAAATGAAAAAAAAAATAATAAATAAAACAAGAAAAGATGGCAATAAAGAAACCTACAAGACTTAATAAATAAAACAAAAAAAAAACAAATAAATAATGGGATAAACACAAGAACAACAATGAAAATTAAGGTAAGGAACTTAAGGAACAAAAATGAAGAAGAAATAAAACAAAAATTGCGAAAAAGGTGCGAAATATCCTTGTAATGAATCCTTTTTTTTCTTTTTTTTGATTTTCACAATACAAACCTATAGGAATTGAAATATAAAATTTTAATGCGTTAACGTGAGTGTGTGTGTGCATGTGTTCAACTCTATTTAGTTTGATTAGTTTTTTTTTTTTTTTGGTTCTGTTATACAATAATAATGAAATAATAATTTGTGGGTTTGAAAGAATAATTTCATTTGAAATTTTTCATTTCTTTCTTTTATTTACAACACCATATACATCTTAATTAATTATAATAATAAAGTCCTTTATTATATTTCTTAAAAAAAAAGGCAAGAACCCAAAAAAAAAAATGGTGTTCACATTTTAAGAATTGAAATTAATTGAGTTGTTTTATATGTAGAATGTATGTATGTATGTACAATCAAATATTTGTAATGAATTTCTTAAAATGAAGATGAGATGACAAATTTTATATGTTTTATTTAATAACCAAAGAAATTTTTTCAAATATTTCGAATTTTTTCTCAAGTTAAATGAATATAGCATAAGTACTTAGTATAATAGAAGTTGTTAAGAACAGAATTTATATCTTGATTTATTAAAATAACAAAAGAGAGGAAGAAAAATATATTGTATATTTCTGAATTTAACGATTCATGAATTACTACCCATACAATAATAATAAAATGGAAAAGTATGTGAAAATTTTTTGTTTATTTAAAAATATTTTTGATAAAAATGACAATTATGTGAAATCGAGATGATATGTTTCTGGTTTTTATTCTAAATATTTATGAAATTTTCAAGTAATAACTGATTAATTTTATTTTTAATCAGTTATTACTTGAAAACGATAAGTCTGATATCAATCATATTTATAAATTACCATTATGTAGTAATACTAGAAAGGAACGGCCAAAGACGAACAAGACACGTATTAAAACTTCAAAAACCATCTACCTAAACCAATTAATTTCGACTAGGCCATCTAGAGCTAGAATGGCCTAAAAGAAAGCCCCTAGAATGCGCCTCCTATTCCACATTAGTGACGGGCAAGCACAAAGAAAATGTTCCACAGACTGTTCTAACTTCAAGCTGTTACAAGAGTCTTACACTACTCTAATTTCATGCTCTTCGTAACGATATATTGATCAGACTATAAAATTTTTCAATTGGATTTTCTTTAATAGGTACTCCAAAACTACACCTAGATGTTCGACTTCCAAACGGCGCCCCTCTCCCCCCCCCCCACACGAACAAATTATTTTTCAAAAAATACAATAAATCACCCTCGAGAGCTATAACAAAAATTTTTAATTCCTCTGGATTGAAAGGTTAAGAAGGTTCTTAGATTATTTATTAGATCCTAAATTATACTAAAATTTCAAAATTAAAATTCCTACTGTCTTGGAGAGACAACAAAAAGAAATTATTTAATGATAACGATTGCTAAATGCTAAAACCAATTAAAAATTCACCAATTGAAATTAATTCAAATTATAAAATTTTAGTTTGGTAACACTGTTATAATTATACATATTATTGTAATTATTGTAAATGAATACTTCCGAATCACAGATTTAAATAGATTAAAAAATAATTACGAATCCTAGAAAATCAAAAATTTTCGAAATTGAAAATTTGAATTTATTTTTAAAACTATTTTTAAATTAAAATTTTCTAAAAATAATTCAAAAACTGGAATTTTAACACTCCAATCTAACTTAAACCACACCAAAAAAGAAATTATTTTATTAATAGGAAATTTTAATTATAGAAAATATTCAGTGAAAATCAAGCACACGCACTAAAAACACCTACTTAAATTTTGATCTTAAATTTTTAAAAATATAATTTTGATTGAATAATGCTAATCACATATAATTTTAATAATAGATTTTATTTAATTAATCTTTTCATTGAATAATCTATTTTAATAAGCAAAACATTTAAAATAATCAAATAATTTTCATTAATAAATTGCATATTATTTTTTGTATAACGAGCAAATTCATTAGAATTTCGTCTTAATAAATTTTAAAATAAAAATATTTTTAATTTAAATTCTTCTTCTCATATATAAAAAATATTTCACGTAATTCAAGTCTATATCAAGTCAAGAGATGAAAAATATTAAAAATACTTACGCCATCAGGTACAAATCTTGGTGAAGAGTTTGGTGAACAAAATTCTTGTAAAACATCTTCGAGTTTTCTTGTTGAATCTACAACAAAAAAAAAAAAAACACAAAAAATTTTTAATAAGAAAAGATTTTTAATTAAAAAAAATTTTTTTTCTAGAATTTTATAAATAAATAATAATGTTTGTGTATGTATAATTATAAAATTTGTGTAAAATTAAAAAATATTTATTATATTTTAATTAGATGTGGAAGGATAACAATATTTTTGGAAAAAAACACTTTTTTCTGTATAGAAAGTTCAAAATAAAATTAAAATGTAATTTTAATATTTTTTTATAATAGCTATTTTAATTTCAATTGTATTTTGGGAGGAATTCAATTATATTAGGGAACAGTGAAAAATTCATTTAAATTTAAATGAAAATAAATTAAAAAATTTTTAATTTTTCAATTAAAAATTTTCTTCTTATTGCAAATAACAGGCCTTATATGTAATGGAATTGCAATTATTCTAGATATTAGTACAATAACGGGTAACAATGGATTTATTAGCTCCACATTAGAAAGCCCTACTTCTATACAACTTGCAGAATCATTTATTTTTTATACGGAAACTTGGAAGCGGCTCAAATTTTATTACAACAAAAAATTTATCTTCTTTCCCCTTTTGAGTTATTATTCCTTCAATTTTCAGTCCCCTATCTATAATTCGACACTACAAGCTATTTTATTAGAATTTTTTTTCATTTTCTAATTGTGTGCCCCTAAAAATATGCAATATTATATGGTTTGAACGATTATATTTTTGTATTGTGAATGAATGTACATATATCACGGACATTAGGAGATTGAGTTGGCCATGGTGAAAACATTCTACCTGAAAAATATTCATAACAACTTCGAAGCGGTTGAAGTTAGAATAGTGTGTTGTACACAGCTTTCTTTTCAATTAATAGATCTACATTGGGATAATATCAAAGTCGAAGTAAGACTTTTCGATTTCCAGTGAAAGCTGCTTAAACATGAATTTTACTTATGCCTACTTTTATGGGTCGAAGTTTTCTCCCATTCCTGCACGAACTATATTTTTTTGTAAACTTTCTTGTATTTTTGTTTGGTGTAAATATCATGTATACTTTTTGAACCAATTTAAATTATTTTATGAATACTCGTACAACAATAAATTTATAAAGTCAAAGAGCTCATAATGTAATTATGTAATCTTAAGTAAATATAATATATAAATGATACAATAATAAAGAAATGATCTGATAACATTAACATTTTTAAAATTATATTTTAAATATGAATGTGTGTATGTTTACAATGTATAAAATGAAAAACATCAATTAAAAATGACATTATTATGAATGATTAATGTTGAAGTATGTAAATGGTTTAAAATGTATGTACATACGTGTAAGTATGTGGTTACAATCATTTACATTGTGTATATAATTGTGATATTATTTTACTTTAATGCAATTATTAAGTACACCTCAACCTTGAATTACGATAAAACCCCGATATTGATTGCTTCACAATATACGTATAAAAATAAAAATTTCGCGTTTTTAATTTAATTTTGTACATGTGTTTCTAAAATATTTTGCTAATATTTTTGATCATTATTTTCTTTTTATAAACATATAAATGAATAAATATTTGATAGTTAAATGACATTTAGAAAATCTCGTAAATCAAGATAGAGGTGTACAACAACAATAAATATAAAAAATTTTCGTAGCGCCACTGTGTGGATAAAAAATAAATATTATATGTTATATTGTTATTGTCAATGATAAAAGGTTTTTAATAGCTTTACTGTCATAAATACAAAAAGATATATTTTGTTTATCTTAGATCTTATACACAACTTATATTATACATAATGTCCTCCTTAATATTGCATGCTAGAATATTATTGCAACAGGTCTCTTTCATTTCTTTCTAAAGACGTGTATGAGTATAGACTTATATATTGTTCGTGTGCATTTAAAAAAGAACTATACAGTTATTTCTAAAATTATTTGAACAGACGAAAGGTTTAAAAGTTGCTTAAAACAATAAATCTCTTATGCAATGGTAAACCCTTATAAAATTGAAAATCAAATTTTAAACACTCATAATTTGAGGCACATTTTCCATTCTAAATTTAAAGCCCTCTAACGGAATAAATATGTGTAACTATCCATACCAGTCTCAGACATTTCATTTTATAGGCTGTAATTGTTGTAAGTGTTATATACCTAGCTAGTGTGTTATACTCCTCTAAATGGAGAGGTGTAAATATATTTTTCCGAGAGGTGTAATTATATTTTTCCGAATAAATTCTTTTACTGTTAACTAAATTTTGGTTAAGACTGTAATTGAAATGTAAATAAAAGCAAAAGAAGAAAATAAACACGATTATTACAATTCTTTTGAGAATTATAAACTTAATAGATAAATACAAGTATAATAATGTTCATGAAATTCTATAAAATTAATTTTTCACTTCATTTTACTAATCATGCGATACAAATATAATATACCTATATTATATTTGTATACATACCTATGTACAAAATTGAATGACAGACACACAATTCATTTCATTTACATTTTTAACTTCTATAAATAATGTTTATTCATGAAATATGCTAAAAAGGTTTAATAAAAAGAGAAAAAAGAAAACGGCAGTCAGCAAAATATACAAAATTTTATGACAGTGAAAAGAACTGTAAAGTGGAAATGAAATGTCGATATTAGCATGCCAGTAAAGACGTATGAAATGTATAACATTATTTTTTTTTTCATACGTCATCATACCTACCTACATACAAACATTATTTCATACCGATGCGGTTATTTTATATCCTACATAATATATATGTTACATAATATATAAATATGTATACAGAAAGAAAGGATATGATGAAAATTTTAAAAGGTTAACACCAGCTGATGAGCTCAAAAAATTAACCATATCAAAGAAAATGAATGGAATAATTAAGTGTGCGGCAGCATTACTGTGAAATATTTTTTTTTTATAATATTTACGCGTTATTGCATACCTTACATTCTTTATACATACATACCTTCATATATAAATATATATTTATAATAGACGTAATTATATTATGTATGCGTATTCGGATGGAAATGTATATATATATTTTTAGGAAAAGATAAAAGTGAATAATTTATAAACCGCAATGGATTTGTATAAGGATATTATAGGGTTTGGTTGAATTTTCTTGTTTATTTTTTTTTTTTTATTTTTCTCCGTATTATAAAGAGTGTGTGTGCGTTAAATCGATTTTTTGTTAAGATTCCGTTATTGATGACAACTAACGAAATCGTAAAAATGATGAGGAGGAATTGTAGTCCTTGCATCGATTTTTTTTTGTCTTTTTCTCTTTGCTTGTTTTTAAATCATGCTGTGTTTTTTTTTAATACGCAAGCAAAACAATTTTTTTTAAAGCGTTATTTTTTGGCAAATATTTTTTGTAATGCTGTTTGCATATATACATACTGTATGTATGTATGAATGTGCTTGTCTTATTTATTTTTATACATTATGTACATAGTGATTTCTTTAAGAAAATATCAAGAAGGATTTAAAGGATATAGTAAGAAGATAAAAATAGATAAAGTAAGAATTACAGTATTGAGGATCAATAAAAAAATAAAAAAGTGAAAAAAAAAAAAATGAAAAGTAAAAAATTATTTATTTAGTGTTTGAATGAATGTTTGTTTGAATTTTCTAAGAAGATTTTTTCAATCAAATTTTATTACATAATAAGAAATTTTTCCCTTTTTTACCGAACACATTGCATACAATAAGGGAGGTCATGTGATGACATCAAATTTCGGATATCAAGTGACAGGTGAAAGGTGACAGATGGCAGATGAAAGATGACAAATGACAAGTAACATTTGACAGGTGAAAGGTGACAGATGGCATATTGAAAGGTGACAAGTGTCATTTGACAATTGACAGATGACAGTTGACAGGTGACGGGTAACAATTGACAGTTGACATTTAACAGTTGACATTTGACAGTTAAAATTCTATTAAGTGACAAATTTAAATTTTTCGAGGAATATTAACAAAGAGCTTACGAATGATCTAAAACTTGTAAAGAAGTGTTAAAAACGCGTTTCGACAATCTTCTGCAACATTTTCACTAAACTAGACAATATGCATTGCGGTCGGTTATGTGCTGACCACATCAGATTTTTTTTTTCTGTTTTCTTGTTATATGCTATAGAAATTTAATTCAGTCAACTTTATATTAATAACCTTGGATTTTTATACTTGTGATAATATACTTGTTTTGAGTATAGACAATAAATTTTTATTTGCTGTTAAAAGTATAGCTATATGGAGTTTAAATATTTGAATGATTGCATACCCTAGAACAATTTTATTGGTAAAAAAAATAGAACAATTTTAAAGTTATCAAGCATAATATGGTTGCGGATACCATTGCGGGATTGTGTTTTTAAACCAAAAATTATTTCAGAATTCCAAAATCTAATGCGAATAGGACAATACTTTCAACTAATCAAAATTGCATAGAATAATTAGTTTTTGAACTAAATTTCTATGAAAAGGTGTACTCAAAAATTATTTTAAAGATTTTTCAAGATTTTCATTCAAGATTTTGCTCATATTTTAGAATATTGGAACATAAATGTGGGGTATTTCATACTGTGGCACTACAATACAAAGCCTATATGTAATATTTTTAATATTTGGTCGTAAAATTTCCAATGGACTCATTGATTTGTTAAGTTTCGATATTTTGTGAAAATAATTCAGTATTTTGTTCGAAAAGTAATCTAAATTAAATTTTAACTTTCATAATTTTTCTAAATTCATTCAAATTAAAGAATAAAAAATTAATACAAATAATTAAGTGAATTTTTTCAGATTTTTTTTAATATAGTCAAGAAAAATAAGACTAATTTATACTTACATGATGCCAACTCCTGTAAATGCTGAAATTCACTTGGTGATAATTTATCCCATTTTTGTGCTGTCGAAGTCATCTATAAAAATAATAAAATATAAAAATAATTTTAATTCAATAGTGATTATATGTCTATAGGGCTATTTATTATAATTTATATTCTAAAAATTATGAGTTTTTAATGTAATACAAATCTTGTTCTGTAAGCTAAAATCAAATACTTCGAAATCTTTCAGAATTAAGAATTTCAGTTTATCGATAAAAATAATAAAATTTATTTATTAAAATTTTCGAGAAGTAGTTGATTTTTGCACTATCCATAAATTTCATTCAAAATAAATTTCATTGGGCTTGTAAAAACCAATTAAACAACAGAAACACAATTAAGGTTGAATAAAATTTATTTTTTCACCATAAATAAATCAATCAATTTTTTCCATATTCAGGCTTTCTTTCCAACATTTCTTTTACAAAATTGCAGCAGAATGACTTCCCACATGTACAAATATTAAAAATTTTTATAAAATGTTCGAAGTTATGTTAAGAAATTCGAAAATTTTAATTAAAAAAATGTTGTTTTTTTTTTCTTGCAGTTTGTTTGAAATTCTGTTAACATTTTTAACATAAAAAAATAATTATATTTTATTCAACAAAAAAGAGGAGCATTTTGTATTTTTCTTCTGTCAGTTTTCACTTTTTCTTTAACAAGAACTTTTATGAAATCCTAAAAGTATGCAAAATCAACCATAATAAAGATCAATTGCAGAAATTTTCTTGTGCTTCGTATTCTTATTTACAATACAGAACTATACAATATAAATTTAATAATATTTTTTTTTTTATAAACCATAAGTGAACTGAATATATTAAAAATAAAAATAAAAACTAAAAAGCATAACACTAAAAATTGTGAACTGTTAAAAATTGAAATATTAAAATAATTCTATTTTGCAATTCAATTTTATTTTAAATTCACATTTGAATTCAATTTCCGATGAACGTAGTGGCATAACATTATTTTCATTATAGTTAACTGTAAATGTACAAGTATACATGTACAAAATTACATTTCTATAATATATTTTGAATATGTATGAATATAGACTAGTTGTATTATATCTGTATGTAAGTATAATATGTGTGTATGTATTTATAAACTGGAATTAAAGAAATATTTCAATATTCATTGTAAAAAGTATTCGTAGCACTATTGCATTTTCTTTATAACATTTTGTAAATAGTAGCAGCACTATTTGCATTTATAATTTCAAGAATATTTTGCATAAATTTAATTTTCTTAACTATTAGAAATATATTTAATATTCAAATGCATTTATAATGTAATATTATATAGTATGTATATGTTCAAATGTCCATTAACTCTATTTTAAAGACATTATATTACACTAAATTTAATTTTAGAAATACACATTTAAAGTAAAATGTTTTATAATCTTGAATATTAATTATTTAATTAATTTAAGTTATTAAAAATTTTCAAAAAATTAGAATCTAAAATCTTCATCTATTGCATGTTTCTTCGTTGGTAGTAGGTTACACTTATTGAATAATGGTATAATGCGGTTGAGGCTAGAAAGTTGAGGTTTGGACCTTTAAAACGTAATTGCCAGTCCGTTGGAAAATTTTCATTGTTCGGTTATTTTATTTAAAGTGGCTTTTGAGTAATTTTCTGAGCGTTTTTTTTTTTGAGTGATTTTTTGAGTGAGTTTTTTAAATCATGACTTTTCAGTGATGTTCACACTTGAGTAATAATTTTATACAAAATATTTCGATTGAATTCTTTTACGTATTTTTTAGTGGGTCAGTGACAAAAAGTTTTGATAACATTCTTGAGAGATTTGTGAATGAAATTTTTTTGAGTGAGTTTAAAAAGTCTAATATTTTAGTGGTTTTCAGATCACGAAAAATTATATTGAAAAAAATAAACTGAAACAAGTACACATTCGTCACAAATATATGAATACATTTAAATTATCTTGTACAATTATTTTTGTATAATGGTATTAAAGCGAAATGATTATCTCTTAAAAAATTTTCAAAAACAAAAAAGAAAACAATACAAAATGAACATAAAACATGTTAAATTTTAATTTTTTATTTATTTTATTGTCTTTTATGAGGCACAAAAGAGACAAAAACTTAAATAGAGACAAAGAACAAAAGGCAAACAAAATACAAAAAAACAACAAACTCAATTCGGAGCATAGTAAATAGGTTGTAAAGTAGCACATTTCCATTCTGTTTACGATATATTGCATACTTTTAGGGGTATGCATGAGGGGGACAGATGAGAGGAAATTACAAAAAGCCTATGCAGTTACGTTATACAATAATATTTTTTGAAAAGATGTTTACCGTTATTCCTGAGTTTTAAAAAAAATTTGATAAGGCTTCTTACTCAGTTTTAAAACAAAATGAGTTGCAGAAAATCGAAGTTTTAAGAATTTTGACAGGTCTCAAATGAGATAACTATGGTTACAAGATAACTTCTTAAAAAGGTAAGAAGGTATAAAATATTTATTAATTTTTAGAAACTCTTGAGAGAAAGAAATCAGACTACCGTGGTATTCCACATCTTTATACAGCACAATATTAAAAATTTGAAGGAAGAAATTACGGGTTGAAAATTTGGAAAGAGAAGGGGAAAGAGCTAATAAAAACTTTTTTTAAGCAAAACAAGTTTTTTTACCCTTCTTCTATTTTTTAAGGTTTGAATCTTCAATAAAAAGATGCACGGACGGTCGGAAGAAAAAATAAAATTAATAAGAACTTTTTTTCCAAATTAATTTCAAATATTCTAAAAATCATACTAATATTATCGAAAGGTAAATGTTGCGTGTCCTTAAACGGTTTCCTCTTTATTATACTAGTGATTTTGATAATAACAAAAGAAAAAAAAAAACAAAAGAAAAATTATTTTTCATATTTCTTGTTTGTTTTTATTTTTTTTATGATTATTGGTGTGTGTTAGAGATCGTGATTTATCAAAAATTTAATGGGTTTTTTTCTCTTCTTTAGTAGTCTATCTTTCTCTCTCTCTCTCTCTCTCTCTCTCTCTCTGTATTCCCTTTAGTGTGTCCTTTTTGTAAATATCGAATAAAATTTGAATAACAAAAAAAAACCAAAACAAAACAAAACGTGTTATAATTGGTGACAGACTAAAATAAAAATAATTTTTCTTTTTTTTTCTTGTTTTTTGTTTTCTTCAAATAATTTAATAATAATAATCATTATGATAATAAATTGACAAAATATATTCAATAACAAAAAAAAAAAATGAAGAAAACACAAAAAAAAGAGCCTCTATTGGCACAACGAACCTTAACAAACACAATAATAAAAAGTTGAGTCTGATGGGAGAATTTATTTTTTTTTGTTATTGCTAATTATAATAATAATGAGAATCAGATAATAAATTAAAGTATTTTTTGACAAATTGGTTTTTATTGATGCTAAAAAAAATATAAATGGATTTTATGATAATTTTTTTAAGAAAATCCTTGAAATTTAGATTGATATGGAAGAAGTCCGAATTTAGTTAGAAAAAGAATATCAGAAAGAGTAGAACAATAAGTAGCAAAGGAATTTTTTATTACTATTCATTGGTAAATCCCGAATTCGTAGTTATTACAAATTGGTGTCCGAGAGCCTGCCTATATTTTGTAATTTTTGAATTTTATATTATCACATACAAGTTAATAGAATGGGGAGAATCTATCGCCTTTAGTTACTTGGTTTGTTGGCAAAAATCTGCCATTTTGCTATAATCATCCCTTGATCATCCAGTTATCATTGGATTGGAGATCGCCTGTCTAAACCCCACAACAGAGAGGTTAGCCGAAATCTCGCCAGCCTTCCATATATAGCAAAAGCTATCGCCAGAAAGAAATTTGCTTTGTTAGGAAGATGATACAATTTCCGATACCCTATTTGTCTCAGTGAAAAAACTCGGGCATCGACCCATTTCCATCCTTTCAGGTATTGATAAAAAAAAGTCACATCAAAATTTCGGAAAGGGTCTCGACACAAAAATTCTTATCGAACCACAAACTGAAAATACCAATCGTACCCATATCGGTTGTTCCAGTTGAAAGTGACCCAAGAATATTTCTATAACCATATGGTCTTGCATTGCTCTCAGCCTGACAGTCTGGTTTGCACTAAAAGTTCCGCTTATGAAAAAGCCCTTTCAAAGCATCCATGAACATCATACGGTACTGTTGTATGTTTTCTCTGTCACCGCTCATCACATGAGCGCTCCTATTAGAAATGTTCTTAAATATTTACATTTGTCCATGCTCGAGAATGATTATATAACCGTAGAGTAGCATTGTTCTTGTTTGACAAGTCTAAAATATTTACGCTTATAAAAATTAAGCGTTATCAAAAGAGAAATTGGTGCAAAGAAATTAAAACTTGAGAAATTTTAAGTATTCTGCGTATAAAACTAAAAAAAGTCCTTAAAAGGATTAAGAATATATGTTTTTTTATATCCCTTCTTTTATGCCTTTACATTTTAAGATAATTATCCTTCTTATATGGTCTCCATACTACCACACTTTTTTATATATGTAGCTTAATAAAAATTTTTAATTTTCTTTAAAAAAAGGTGCAATAAATTTTTCATTATTGCCAGAGTATAAAATTTACAACCATTTTCTTATAAAATTTCTTATCGTAATTATCATTATCACCAGGATCATCATCATTATCATCACATTTCAGCATCATTGTCATCATCTTCACCATTATCATCACCATATTGAGATTATATCTCAGGTATATAAGTGGCGTTTTATTTTATCATTAATATATTAGATTGCCACAATATAAATTATTAAGAAAAAAAAAATAAAATAAAGAAAATTCAATATTGTTTACGTTGCATTATGGTTGTTAAGGTGTGTGGTTGATGGTTTGAAGACAAGAAAAATAAAAATGAATTTAATTTATACAGAAAATTTTTTGTTACACAATTGTAAACAAAAGCTGTTTGATTTAAGGTTTTTTTCTTGAAGTTCAATAGAAGTTAGAAAACTGGTGGTCAGTTATTAAATT